GCTTGCTCTCCATGAGACACACAGACAGGGAGAGAGAAGCTGGGGGTCAGAGCGCAGGGTCAGCTCTTTATACGGCACCCTTGTGTCAGGTCTCTGCTACAGTCTCACCGCGACCTGGGCCTGAAACCCAGAGACCATAAGAAGAGATACCGACGAGAGGAGCCCCTTCAGGCCTGTCTGGTCGTCAGTAGTTTGTACCATCACACATATTCGTTTTCCACTAGTGTCCTGTTTCGGGTTGCACCGCTGGTTCCAAATAAGGCCTACTGGGTTTGGGTTGCCACTGCCTTTGAGAATTCCAGACTCTCATCTCGGGTGCCCTTGAAATCCTCTCTCTCCAAAGACTGAAGAAAGGGAGCTCTTCCGGCCAGTCCCTGCAGGGCATTCCCTTAAGCCCAGCAATGTTTCTGGCTGCTCTGCTCCTGACCCAATTCCAGAGCAGCAACATCTTTTCTAAAACACGGTGACCACAATTGTGCACAATATTCCAATTGAAGCCTTACAAGTGTGTTGTACTGTTGTAACATAACATCCCTTGATTTCATTCATGTGCTTGTCACTGTTCCTTAGTGAAGAATGGCTATTTATGGAATAGGTATAGTTAGAATAGTGAAGAGTCCCTTGGAAACTACCGAGTCAGGCTGGTGTCCTTGAGACCACTGGCTCTTTTATGAGCTATACAGGTAGGTGTCAGATGTCACTTGTCAGAAGAAAATAATTTAAACCAACACCTATAGATTATTAATTAGAGCTTATTCAAGTAAGACAACGGACCATAAAGAATATCTAAACCCTTTATTTGATAAAGAACCTTTGGTTTTGTGATAACATTTTAGAAAAGCATGACTTGATAACCTTACAATAGGACTGTAGTAACTCATAAGCTGGGCCTGTGAAGGACAAGGGGCCTGTACCCTTATTTTCTGTTATTGTTAAAAAAAAAAATGTGTTCTTTATTTCTACTCGGAACTGCAGGTGGATGCCTGGCGTTTTGAGAAAGTCGTAAATGCATCACTGATCTTGGGAGTTCGAAGCTCCTAAGGAAGGAAAGCGATTGGTAGTCGTCCGGATAGGCCAGCAGAAACAGGCCTTGTGGGTTAGTGCCTTACAGTCAATGCCTAGGCTGTGCTTCAGTGCTTGTGTGTGCTCACAGCTCGCTACCTGACCAACCTGCTGGAGAGAGACGAGTGCTCTAAAGATGAAGGAGAGACCGGCGAAGACCCTGCGTCCCCGTCAGTCTTCACTGAGGCCTGCACCAACGCTAATTATATCCAGGTAATGTTAATTACATAGAATCACTCATACAGAGCTCACTCCGAGAGCAGTCATAGGAGGTTCAGATCTTCTCTCTCTGCATCTTCTTAACATTGATGATGCGTCAGTACGTTAAACTGGGAGACTCTGAGAGATGCGGAGTGCAGCACACACACCTGTGTGTCAGTCGAAGGGTTCTGTTAACAGTGCTCTATGGTATGTAGATACACTTTGTTTCTGCCATCATGGAATACTGTGTTCAGGAGTGTGCCTTCCAGAAACTCTGGAAACTCTCCAATTCTGAGCAGAGATCAACAGCAAATATGCTCTCTGGTCTACACTGCAGAGCCCTTGTGTTTTTCCTAAGCAGCTGAAACTCGCTGATCTCCACTTGCTCTTACTAGGCAGCACCCAGAAGGGGTGAGTCTGCTGCTGTCAAGACAGGCCACCCTGCAGGCGGCCATACCCCTGATGCTCACCCTACCTGACAGCTTCCATCAGCTGGATGTATGCACCCTCGGGACCTTTTCTTTCTGTTTTTGTGAAAAGGCCCCACTGTGCGTGAACAGTATCGCACAACCTGAGCTGAAAGGGCTCGCGTGTCTCCCCTGTCTCGATAGCTCTGGAACGACTTCATGAACCGCTCCGGAGAGGAGCAGGAGAAGCTGCTGGGCCTCCTGGAGGAGGAGGCCAAGAGAAGTCGCAGAGCCAAGCTCCCCGAGAAAGAGAAGGACCAGCGAGAGGGTGAGCCCCCCTCTTACTGCGCAGTAACAGGGGGAGCCAGCTGCTGTTCATTCATTGAAGTGCTGACCGCTGGGCTACTACAAGGGATTTTCCTCTTGAGCTGAAGTATTGCTTGTCCATCTAGAGAACAAGTGGCTCCAGCTGGTGACAAAATGAAATGTCAGTCTTCACACAGCTTGTACTAGTGTTCTGTACTGTAATACTCTTGAGCAGGCCTTGAGTAGGAGCCAAAATCAGGACTGTAGATCTCTTTCTTAATGTGTCATAAATAGATCTGAAAGCTTAACAAACACATTTGCCACTTAAAAAAAATGACTGGTGATCTCAGCTTAGGTAGTCTTCCTGTTGCACACTCACACAGGGACAGTGCTGCTTGAGCTCATGAGCTCTGTCCGGCAGCAGGTAATCTTGAGCTTTTCCTCTCCTCAGTGAATCCGGCCTACAGCCCCCAGAGCTGCTTTCTGCGGATCGACAGGAGGCTTCGCACCACGCTGAAACGCAAGCAGGTTCCCATGGTGAGGGCGAAGCCCACGCAGTGGGAGTAATTTTTTTTTTTTCGCTGGCCAGTTTTTCCTGGTATCCGTTTGTCTTTAATTGTGTGCTGTGCTCTCATGACATAAGCCTCTTAATAAGGGATTCGGTTGAGAAATCTCTGACTGCTGGATACGTAGAATGACTTTTGGAGCAGGGCGTGGCACTAACATTAAGGAAGATCCGGTGGTCAGCTTCAGCCTGAAGCACAAAACTTGTCAGCTTTGATTCCTAAAGCAATATCTGTAAGCTTCCTGGCAAGTCAGGAATGGAGAAGGTCATACTCTTCGTCAGTTTTGACATGGTGAACTCGCATTGATGGAGCCATGTTCTCTCCTCTCCCTCTTTCTCTTTTCCGCCGCAGGGGACTCTGGAAGTGCTGGAAGAAGAGTTGTTGAGTTTTTTCTCCGCTCAGCCCCACTCCGTTTACACCACAAAGCTCAGGAGCAGGTAGGAGCTCACCTCCCAGGACACAACAGGGCTGCATCCTTGTTTGTACAGGAAGATCAATTGCAAGATCAGGTTTGCTCTGATGTGATATTAATTCAGATTAAACACATTGTTAAAACAGAGTAAGCCGCTACAGTGTAGTTTTTTGACTGCTGTGTTTAGATGGTCTTTGGGGCTGGTTATTTATCATGCATTATTTTATATTCATAGTTATTTGCCATTTTGTTTTATTTTTAGCTATGAGAGACTGCTGCTTCATGCTATCTGTCAGTATATGGACCTTGTTTCAGCAAGTAAGTACCTTTTTGTATAAAGCGTCATCTTTCTGTTGCTAACGGTTACTGTACCCTGATTGTTCCTTTGTGCTCATCAGTATCCCAACACCACAGAAAAGCAGTAAAGAGATTTTTAGGGAAAATATTCATTTTATTTTTAAATAAAGTCTTTGCAGGAGAGAGCAGAACAGTCGGTGACATTAAGTCAGAATGATGACATAAGAACTATCTCGGGCGATTGAGTCCATGTAGTTCTTGGACTGGATGAGCGAATGTTTCCTGGAGGTTTTCTTAATGCTCTGATTTTGGGGTTTTGCCTCGCGGCTCAGGCTGTGACTGTGACGGGACACGCCAGACGGAGGTGATGAACAAGCAGGAAGAGTTCCTGCCGCCTGAGCTGCTGCTGTCTGCGTACCTGGAGAAGATGAGCTGAGAGGAGGAGGTGGAGAGGGGCTGTGTCTCACATCCAGCCCTGATCTAATCAACTGGGCAAATATACGGGGGGGGGGGGGGGGGCAGTTTGGGGTGCATTTTAAAACAGGGGGAGGGAGTTGTCCCACAAATTAGACCCATAACTGCTCAGATTGCCAATACATCATCAGGGTGTATGCATACTAAATAAGAAGTGTATTAAAAAAAATGTCATAAATGTAGGTTTTGAAAATGTAAACTTTTACCCAGCAATCCTGAAATAATATGAACAATGTTAAAAAGGTGTTAGAATTAAAATTTGAACGTTATTTCCTTCTTACTAGGATAGCCTTAGGCTATGGTCCCTTACTGGAGAAACCAGGAGAAATTAAGGGCTCAGACCTTGAAAACAACATAGTGGCTGTTTGAAATGCCTGGTCCTGAAATTCCTGTTTAAACATGAAAAAGATTGGTCTCAATTGTTAGTTTTCTCATGAGACAACACAGTGATTCATGATACTGTATCACCATGAAGATACAGATGAAAGCCTGCTGTTTTCACTGCGTTTATGGGCTGTGGAAGAGTTCTAAAAAAAAAGTAGTAGATGGGATGGATTTCCAATTCTAGCATGCAGAAAATAAAAGTTAAATCCATCCACTTTTGCTGCGTTTTTGCCAGGGTGGGTCAAGTTAGCTTAACAAAATGTAGGCAAGTAAACATTTTAGCAGTTTTAGTGTATACGCTTAACGATGTTTTAAAATCTGTTACTCCTTACATGGTAGGAGTTCATTTAAGCCCTATTCCATTTGCTTCTCTGACTGCTAAGAGTGCATGTCTTTATCCTTTAATGTATTTTATTGTATATATATATTTATATACGGAACTCTCGGGAGCTTTATTTGCTTACTGCTGGTACAACACTGCCCTTTTGTCCACATTCTTCAGCTTCCAAGGGCTGACGGGTCAGAATGGCAGTGGACTTAACCTGCTTTGTTCTTTGGCTCTCCCTAATGATTACTTGTTTTAATTTATAATGAAGTATTTTAGTGTTGTGCCCTCCAGATGTGGAAATGCCGGTTGTGTGATTTTTCACTTCTCGGCTCCGGGCTACAAGCCGGAGTCCGCACACGGGAGACGGAGGAAGCGTAGGCAGACTCCTTCGACCCGCCCACCTTTGGGCCAGTCTTTTAAGAGGGCGCAGGCAGCACAGACCCCTGTGGGGGGGTTCTGTGGCAACTGGAGGAGAGGTGTGCTTCCTTTAGGGACAGCACTGGAACTTCCCATGAGGGCGCTGGGATCAGAATGTCTATTATAGCCGAAAGACGCTGACTGACTCGCACCCTGCTGTTGGCGCCACTCAGCCAACTGTGCACCTCCACTCGTGGAACCCAAGTCACAGTGACATGACCCCAGCTCGAACCCGTTACCGTAGAGCTAGGCCAATGCTCAGGTGAGCGCCTAAACCAATTAAACCTCTTAGGGGGCTCCAACGACTATTTTAACAATCCTCCAAGAACAAGGATTTCTTGGCGAAACACTCAGGACTTGCCTTGTGAGTCACAACAACATACGAATTTTCACAATGCCAGCATATAATCTGTTATTTATGTACTACAGGAAAACCAGTAAGGCAGCTCATCCACAGACTTCTCCAGTTTTTTATAGAAATTGCATATAATGGTGAATGTATAAGTCCTTTTGACTTGCAAGCTAGAAACAAAGCTCTTGTTGCTGGCTGGAGATCCTAACGAACGTGGAAAAATAACGGCATACTTTATAGAAATCGCCGACGATGATTGACCTCACCATTTTTAAAACAATCTCTTATGCGATTAAAGAAATATGAAGAGTACCTTCAAGTAATCAATGTAAAATCATAGAATTCTTCAGGAGAATGAGATATTGACCCTGCCCAGGTATTCTAGATCACCACTGGCTCAAGGTGTTGAAACTTTTGTGCACACGTGTGTGTGTATATGTTGACAGTTGCGATTGAACATCTCAGGTGTGTTTGAAATCTCTGTTAACTGCAGACCTTCGATTAATCTGAATCGTAATAAAGCTCTGCACATTCCTTACAAAAGCTTTAGTGTATGTTCATATACAGTGCAGCTCTCACGTTTTTACCTGAAATCTGAGTTGGGCAGGGAGACTACAATCCATCTGAAAGTTAATTTCACCTTCGCATTTCTGGACAGCTGCTAGTTTTTTTAGCCTGACTAGCTACTCATTTTTAGGTTAAGGGACTGGTGGGCTCTTATGGGAGTACAACAGGTCATTATCAGACCACCTTCGAGGTGCACTTTTAATTGAAAATAAAGCAACCCATGAATGAAAGGAATTCTTAAATCGCCACATTTGAGAAATTCTGGCCTTGATGCTGAAAATCATTATGACGCAAAGGAGACAACGAGCACTTAGTCCGCTGGGTGAAGATATGAACTGTCCGTGTTTGAAGCTCAGCACATTTTTTTAACCTGTTGACAAACCATTGATGTGCACTTGACGCCTTACATACGCCTGTGGATGTACCTGTATATATGAGTTATATATATATGTGTGTGTGTGTGTATATATATACAGTGTGTTCTCTTTGGTGCTGAGATGAAGTTTGCTGCATCATCATGTCTTCAGAAGGAAGCATGGTGAAAGAACATGACCTGGACATATTTCACTTGCCTTTTCTTTCACATGACTACAGGTGCCAGAGATGTAAATTACCAAAGTTTTGTTTTTATTCGGTGTGCGTGTTTTAAATGTGTTCACCAAAGGTGATTGGAATTTGTGTCCATCTTGTGGTTTTTTTTCCACAATTTCCTGAAGTGACTGTTTTCCCCCTTGATCCATTGCTCACAGCATTACGGTGGAGGCCTCTACCTGCCAGATCAGTAGTGCTGGGTTTTCCCTGGGTTACAGTGCGATTCATTACTTTAACCCATCTCAGTGCTTCTTGAATTATTCTTAATTAAATAATGAATGATCTTCATGTGATTGTCTTTTATTCAACTGTCTTGTTTTCAGAAAACGTAAAATATTGCATCTCGCATCTGGACCGCATGAAGTTTAATTCTCATTCCTGTTTTAGGATTGTAATCCTTCGATGTTGGGCACCAGCTGTGGAAAAAATGGCTCTTGCCAGTGTTTGTCAACGTGTCTGTTTACACAGCATCAACAGAAAACAAGTCAGACTGAAATCTCACATACAGTGAGGTGGAAAATGAATTTGCACTTGTCTTTTGGGCTGCCCCAGAACATTAAGAACTGGACAGATTTGGTTTGCTAATCATTACAAATAAAAGGGCTCATTCATTCACATTCAATCTGCGCAAGGGGTTCAGGTGTATAATTTGGGTTATGTTAAAAGTCTTTGTATTCAATAAATGTGAGTACATTTCTTTATGGCAGTGGTGTCAAACTTTTTCTTGCCTACTAATGACCATCTTCAATGGAGTCTTGTTGTATCTTTCATTATATAGTATACTAACGCAGTTATTTGTTGTTCTAGCTGGAACCCAGTGGGGTCAGGGGAATGTTAAATAGCATAAAGCATGTTTTTAAGAGCTGGCAACTGTGACACTTGACGCTTTGCATGATGGGCAAAAAAAGGTTTTAGTTAAATGCCACTTCTGTCGCTAGATTGCACCCTGATCCCATGTTTCACTCAGCACTGTGTAGACGGTAAGACTAGGGATGTGTGGGGTTTGTGATCCCAGTAAGTTTGACAATACAAATAGTCAAGTATCAAAATCTAAGGCCTGCAATATGTTAAGCTAGTCCTTAAAGAGGATGATGCCCAAATGATCTTCTTGTAAATTACTACTGCGAGTATAGGTGTTCATATTTCTTCAGTAACAATACAAGTCTCATGAGTACAGAGGGATGTCAGTGGGTGATTAGAGTTAGGGCATCCAACCCTGGCCCTAGAAGGTCACAGATTGCACAAAAGGTTTTAAGGGCCTTTTTAATCGGCAACAATCGAGCTTCTAGTTACTGGAACTGAGGAGTTAAGAACTCGGTTTGAAAGAAACCCGAAAGAAACGCGGTCAACAGCACTCCAGGTGAAGGTCTATGTGACCTACGCTTGTTGTTCGTTGATGGGGGGGCTGTATACTAATTTTTATTAATGGACTCTGGTGCGTTGTGGAACGGATTTACTCCCTTGGTGATCAGGTTTAAACGTTTAAATGTCACGCATAGAAGAGCAGGCACAAGTGGCTTAGCCCGGCCCGCTTGAGTCGCTAGACAAAAAGGTTCATGTACTTCATTCATAGCATTTTGAGATAATTA